TGAACAGCGAAGACCATCCTGATGAGGTCCCAGATGGAAATGAGAAACAAGGTATTGGAAAATGGAGTAAAGGATTGCTGCTATAAACTGGCTAAGACCGTGGCTAAACTGTCTGTGTCCTAGGACTTTATGAAATGCAGAACTTAACAGTCATAAACTAGGATGGTGGAAGGAATATCTAAGCAGCAAAGCATTTAGGCTGCTCAATGGCTACTTTTAACCACTTACAGTAAGCTATAAGAAAAAACAGGATAGAAAAATTTAGAAAATTTGAAGCCTGGCCATCTTAAGAGTGAATGGGGTGTTTGAATATGGTCAAGAGATTGCTAAAGAGATCACCATGAATAGAATGAAGCCAGAGGCTATTGTTCATGACAATGAAATTAAAAACCCCAAAGGCATTTCAGGGATCTTTGAGGCTGCCACCTCCTCACAGGCCCTGAGCTCTGAGAGGGCAGAATGATTCTGGGGAATGGACGGACTGAGTCTCTACTCCCTGCATTCCAGCACACTGCTCCTCAGCCACCCCAGCTGTGGTTCAAGCAGCCACAGGTGCAGATTAACCTGCAGCTCTAGGATGTACAGGTGGTAAACCATGTCAGTATCCACGTGGTACTAATTCTGCAGGTGCACAGAATGCAAGAGCTGCGGAGGCCTGGCAGCCTCCACATAGATTTTAAAGAATGTATTGGACTGCCTGGGGGTAAAGCTACTGCAGAGAGCTTCCAGTAGGGCAATGCCAAGTGAAACAGTGGAACTGGGGCTGTTGCAGAGATACCCCACTGAAGGCAATGCCTAATGGAGCTCTAAGAGTCAGACTGCCACCAAGACCCCAGAACAGTAGAGCCAACAGCAGCATGCAATACCTGCTTGGGAAAGCTGAGGGCACCAGTATGCCTTGAGGCCTCCCTGAATACCCCATCCCCCAATGTGTTCAAGATGCTGGACATGGAGTCAAAAATATTATTATCCAGCCTTAAAATTTAAGTCTGCTCTGCTGGATTTTTGACTTGCTTGGGCCTGTTACTTGTTTCTTCTGGCCTATTTCTCTCTTTTGAAAAGAGAATGTATACCTATACTTGTTCCACCAAAAGAATCACTTTTATGATGATTCTACAATTTTACAAAGAGGTGAAACCCCCACCTTTGCAAAAATTATAATTGAGGAAATTGTGAGAGTGAAAGAAATCAGACCTGATTCCATCTTGCTTCTAACTTTTAAGCTGTCCTTTCTGAGTCTCCTGGAAGTAGATAACTTGTTTTGATTTCAAAAACTCACAGATGAGACATTAGACTTTTGAGTTGGTGCTGGAACAATTAAGTCTTTTGGGACTACTAGGATGGCATGACTGTATTTTGGATTTTTAGAAGGCCATGAATTCTGAGGGCCAGGGACAGAATGCTATGGTTTGAATATAGTTTGTTCCCCTGAAAGTGTTGAGATTTTGGACCTTTGAGAAGTAATTGGCAGTGCCCTCATTAACGGATGAATCCATTCATGGATTAGTAGACTAATGGATTAAGGAGTTATCAAGGGTCAGTTATCATGATGGTGGGTCTGTAATAGGTACTAGTTTAGCCATCTCTCATGACCTCCCTTGCCATGTGATGCCCTGTACTACCTTAGGACTCTGCAGAGTCTCAACCAGCAGCCCCCATTCAATGTGGCCTCTTGACCTTGGACTTACCTGTCTCTGGAACTATACAAAAATAAGTTTCTATTTCTTTTAAATGACCGAGTCTCAGGTATTCGGTTCTAGCAATAGAAAACCGACTAAGACAGAGGCTGATGCCGCTGGTCCTAGGCTACAGGTTGAGAACCACTTCTAAGTAATGCTGCCTCTGTGTAAACCTACTTCTAATTATGGCAGCCCAGTAACAGACTCTGTTTTGTACATACACTCACTTTTGCTTTATGTAATTTTAATATATACCGAATTTTGGGAATGCAACCTCTCGATAAATCTTCAACGGAAAATTATACTTTGTTCTGGAAATTTGACCAATAATTGTCTAACATCAACAACCCTGGTACAGTGTTTGAGTGATTATTTGATAAGGTATTTGAGTTATAACTCATCAGAAAACATTTCTGTTCTCAGAAAAAAAGTTCCTACCAGTTTTACCATGATTCTACAATTTTATATAGAAGTGAAACCCTCCTTGAAAAAATTATAACTGAGGAAATTATGACAGTGAAAGAAATCAGACCTAACCTACTTGTATCTTGCTTCTAACCTTTAAGCTGTCCTTTTTCATTCCTGGGCATAGGTTGAAGAAACTTAGGAAAGTAATTCAGGTCATGCTTTGACTCTGAAACAAAATTGATAATAGCCCTTTCCTGAAAAGACCCCCTTCTTGCCTGGGGGGACCAGTCTGCCTTTGCAGGACGAAGAAATTAGCTACAAGATTAGAAATTACGGTTTAGGGGTCATGCAGCCTCCGGCTCCAAGAGTCTGCACCCTCTTGCCCCCTAGGTTGCTCCTGGGGATAACATCTCTATTGTAATATCTAAGACCAGTGGTTGAGATATTTTGCAGACCTTACACTCCATGGATCTGTTGACACCACCCAGATCGGTAATCGGGTTCAACCATTTCTGCCATCCCATCCAGGAACAGAAGATAGCAAGAAAACCTCACTTAGACCCCTCATGATTCCATCTTTAACCTGACCAATCAGCACTCCCTACTTCCCAAGGCCCTATCCGCCAAATTAGTTTTGAAAACTCTCATCCCTGAATGCTCTGGGAAACTGATCTGTGTAATAATAAAACTCCAGTCTCCACCCACAGCTGGCTGTGCATGAATTAAATTACTCTATCTCCACTGTGATTCCTGGTCTTGATAAATTGGCTCTGTCTAGGCAGCAGGTGAGGTGAACCCATTGGGCGGTTACAGAAGTGTGAAGAGCAAGTATCTGAGTGCCTCATTATGTTTTCCAATACATTCAAACTTGAACATTTTACATGATGGAATATATCTTAATATATTAGAAATGTACTAAAAATATCTGATTTCTTCTTTATATTACATTTGATATTACTTTTTTATTAAATGGTTTATATATGAATTTCATTTCAGAATAGTAAAGGATTTGGGATCTGATCAGTTTGAGAATCAATTTTGTGTGTATGTATGTGGAATGAAGAATTAGTTTTTATTTTTGAGCGAGAACAGTTTGGGGATTATTAGGTTAGTGGAAATAAACTAAACCAAAAATCAATGTGCCTGAGGTTTATTCTTAAATCTCAGTAAGTGGCAATATGACATTCAGCAAGTGATTTAACTCTGAATCTCCATTTCCCAATTTTAAAATGAATCCATTAGACTAAGAGGCCTCCACTATCTTTTTCTATTATTCATTCATCGAATAAAGACTGTTTTAAACATTCTTTACAATTAAGTGTGTTACTTTGATTACATTCATCAAATACACTTCCACATAAACTGGCTCTTCAATATTGATGACCTAATACAACTTTTAATGTTTTAACAGTCAGTAACACACTTTCCCAGAGATTTAGGAAGGTAACTTTAATCTGTTAGGATATCTTTAAACAGCAAGTGTGTTAGCTTAATTATACAATGTCAGCTTTTAATTCTAAGAAGGTCTATAAAACCTAAAAGTAAGGTCTTCCCTGACCCTCCCCCACCCCCAACCCCGGACATTTGAAGTTTGTGCCCCCATTGAAGAGTATTTTCACCTTTGAGCTTTCAGGGGCAACTCATTTTGCCTCACTGAAACCGGGTTTCAGGTTTGGGAACCAAGATAAGGATATTAAGTACACTTTTTTAACATTTAAGGACACTTTCTGGATAAACCAGAATCTAGGGAGATAAAAGTGAATAATTTGGATCTGCTCTCTTTGAATGTTTATAATCTGGTGAAAAATAAAATGGACATATGGACCCAGTGCAGTGGCTCACACCTGTTATCCCTGCAGTTTGGGAGGCTGAGGCAGGCAGATCACCTGAGGTCAGGAGTTCGAGACTAGCCTGGCTAACATAGTGAAACCCCATTTCCACTAAAAATACAAAAAATTTGTTGGGCATGGTGGTGTGCACCTGTAATCCCAACTACTTAGGAGGCGGAGGCAGGAGAATCACTTGAACCCAGGAGACTGAGGTTGCAGTGAGGCAATCCCGCCACTGCACTCCAGCCTGGGTGACAGGGAGAGATGTGGTTGTGGGGAGGAGGAGGGAGGCATATGAATATTTATTCGTGACCAGTGTAAAGGGGGCAAAAATTCATATGCCAACGAAAACGGGGACACATCAGGTCTGTCTTGTTCATCACTGTGTCCACAGGGCCTGACACCTAGTAGGCTCAGGGGGAGAAAAGAACCCCAATTACCAACACAAGACAGGAAAGAAAGGGAGGATCTTACAGAAAAGAGTGATACTTAAACTGAGCAAGGAGGCACCCGGAAATAGTGCTACCTAATAATTGTTGGCAATCAGATTGGCACACTCCAACGGTTCATAAGACCAGACTTCTCCCATCAGCTAGCTTCCTTCCTCACCCTTCTCACCCTGGGCAACCGGCTTCCTCTCTCTAGGTCGCCTGCTTTTCACCTGTAACATAGAAGATGTTGAGCAATACCACTTCTGAAAGAGCCCTGAGTGTGTGTGCCAGGGGGAAAACCCCTACAACGCTAATACACCAAAACTGCACGTTTGCACAATTGAGTTCTGCTGTATGCAAACAGGCAAACAGCATTTACAGGGAAACAAAACCAAATCAAGCACATAAAAAGGTAGGAAGAGTTGGAAAACAGAAGGAAGGTAAGTTCTCAAACAGCTAGAATAGTGGATGTTAATGAAGTTTTTCAGAGGAAAAAAAAGTTGGTAATGAGGCAACCGGACCTGAGAAAAAAGACGAAGAATAGCAAGTAAAAGACAACTCCTCTTGTTAACTCTCTCCTTCTGCCGGCCTCTGTCACCTGACCCACCGCATTACCCCACCCCGCACCCTCCTTCCTTCCCTCCCCACATTACTGCACAGGAATGAAGTCTGGGTCGTGGGCGGACCGCTTGTGGCTCTTAAATCCTCTTTTTGTCGCCCCGACAGTGCAAAATTTTGAAACGTCCTTCGGCAAAGAAATCCGTCCCTGGGGCCTTCCCTAGGTCAGGGTCCAGGTGCAGGCAGGTGAGGCGCGACGTGCGCTCCCAAGCCCCCGCTTCAGCGGCGGGCGCGCGCCTCGCGCCCAACCCCCAACCCCCGCTGCTCAGCGGCCCCGCCCCCGCGTTTCCGGAGCGGCGTAGCTATTTCACCGCGCGCGCCTCGCGGTGCAGTGACCCACAGTCCGCGGCGCTCGGCTTCCTGCTCGCTCTTCACCTCCTTTCCCAGCCCCTGGCAGCATGGGAGCTGGGCCCGCCTCGCTGCTCGCCGCCCTCCTGCTGCTTCTATCCGGCGACCGCGCGGTGCGCTGCGACACGCCTGCCAACTGCACCTATCCTGACCTGCTGGGCACCTGGGTCTTCCAGGTGGGCTCCAGCGGTTCCCAGCGCGATGTCAACTGCTCGGTTATGGGTAAGCCGCCGGCTCGGCAGTCCCCGGGTCGCCCTTCTGCCCTTGAGCCCCTAACGCAGCGCCGCGCCAACCACCGCTTCGCCCCAGGCAGACGCTTGTGGGTGGCCAGAGCATCTTGACTGGATTCGGGGACCCTTGGGGCCCTTCTTCCCCGCCAGGCCCGCGAAGTTAAAGTTTATCTGCTGAGAACGTCTAACTCCACACTCTCTTGGTTATCTTGGGGACACAACACTTTTATCAAGAACTTTTTTATCCTTCCCATTAACTTTTTTTTTTTTTTTTTTTGGCTAGTTTGTTGGTATGAGAGAGACTTGGGAACTGGAATCTTTTGATTCCCCAGTTGGATCTGTCAGCGTTATTTTTAAAATGATTTTTTTATTTTTTGTTATTATTGTACTAGTGAAGACAGATGAGCTCAAAGACGCTCGAGGATATAGCAGGAAGTGTTCTCTTTTTGTTAGGTTGTGGGAAGGGGCCCTTCTGCCCAGCAATTTTGGTTTGAGCATGTGCTAATGAGTACTAGAAAACGTCTGTACTGTTTCATGCATTGCAGGGAGGTAAATTTTTTAAAATAATTAATAACAAAATTTAACTCCGAACCTAATAACTATATTTAGAAATGCCCGGAGTCATGCACAATGCCTGATTCATGGAAGGCTCTCAATAAATACCTAGTTTTTGAACATACTGGGGATATTTCATATGCCTTCAGATTAAATGGTTACTCCTAGAACAAAGAGCCTAGTGAAGGGGGTGGAGTGGAAAAAAAGAGTCCCTGGTCAGAAGAGTCACACTGTGGTCCACCCAAACCCCCTTACAGCCTGTGACTTTTGCAGAGTCAGTGAAAAATCAGCTATAATTTTCTTGTCAGCAGCAGAACAAAATGGTTAAGTTTTTTTTGTTGTTGTTGTTGTTTTTTTTTTTTGGAGAACGGAGTCTCTCTCTGTTGCCCAGGCTGGAGTGCAGCGGTGCAATGTCGTCTCACTGCAACCTCCGCCTCCGCCTCCGCCTCCTGAGTTCAAGAGATTCTCCTGCCTCAGCCTCCAGAATAGCTGGACTACAGGGGCGTGCCACCATGCCCGGCTGAATTTTTTTTGCGTTTTTAATAAAGACCGGGTTTCACAGTGTTAGCCAGTATGGTCTCAATCTCCTGACCTCGTGATCCACCCGCCTCAGCCTCCCAAAGTGTTGGGCTTATAGGCTGAGCCACCGTGCCCAGTTTTTTTTTTTTTTTTTTTTTTTAATTTGAGTTTGAAGGTTGGAGCAGAAAGAGATCAGGATTTGCACTACCCTGTCACGTGCAGTCTCCCATGTCAGAGTATTAATTTGAAACAGGAAAAACTGTTTAAAGTATAGAACTCTCCAGATGGACACAGCTGAACCATTTTCAGGCAGGCTTTGCCTATAAAATTACCTTGGGCCTTAATCCGTGAATTAAAGGCACCCGCAGATCCGAGTGCTCATCTATGAAGCTTGAACGTTTCATTCCTATCAGTACAAATTAGTTTTAGAGAATACAAACTTCTGGTTTGCTAAATAAACTTTGGAAGGATTCATCTTATGAGGTTCCAAACTGTAAAGCCATTGAGGAGAAAGGTACAACATTGCTTCTCTGAACAGATTATTTTGTGTTTTCTCCTGGGCTTAGCACATTGTCCTCCTGAGGATCTGATGACTAGTCTGTTTATTTAGCGTTTTGTTGTCATACCTTTTATTCTTACATTTCTCACTTTTGAGTAGCATTTTGTCTTCTCCCTGTTTCTGGAAGCCTATAATTTTCAACATTCCCCATTTTCTTCTTCAGTGGAAAAAATTTCTTTATTGTTGGGATGCTTTGGAAAGATACTGTACTTTTTGGTGTCTCCCTTCCTGCTGGGCTACATGGCATCTCTCTCTCTCTCTTTCTTTTTTGCTTTTTTTTTAAGACAAGATCTCACTGTGTCGCCCAGGATGTAGTGCAGTCCAGCAGTCATAGCTCACTGCAGCCACCAATTCCTAGGCTCAAGCAATTCTCCCACCTCAGCCTCAGACTCTCAAATAGCTGAGACTACAGGCATGTACCACCTTACCCAGCTAATTTAAAAATGTATATATTTTTGTAGAGAAAGCCTCTCACTATGTTGCCCAACCTGGTCATGAAGGCCTGACCTCAGCCCCCCAAGTGCTGGGATTACAGGCATGAGCCTCTTCTCCTGGTTGCATATCTCAAATTCTGAGAACCTAACTTCACAGTCTTGCCTGGGTGCAGGAGCTGTTTGAAGCAACAAGGTGGAGACTCTGGTTTCTTCACTAGGCAGACTGTGTTCAAATTGGGTAGCCTGAAAGGAAAGCAGCACAATTATAATAGAAATTGGGGAATTCTTTCCCTCATTGAAATCCAAATAATTTTCCTTTATTGTGCCTTTTTTTTTTTTTTCCTTTAGGACCACCAGAAAAAAAAGTAGTGGTGCACCTTCAGAAGCTGGATACAGCATATGATGACCTTGGCAATTCTGGCCATTTCACCATCATTTACAACCAAGGCTTTGAGATTGTGTTGAATGACTACAAGTGGTTTGCCTTTTTTAAGGTTAGTTTTGTTGGAAGTTGGGTTTACATTTTCAATGATTTCATATCTGAAACCTCTTCTGATTAGTAGACTCTCAGAATTTTAATTTTAGATTAAGAAGATAGCCAGCATTGACACCACTCTTCCCAAGAGTAGTAGCTGGTATCATTTTGCCACTTCACTTAAAATTATGATTTTAGTAGGTTTAAGATATACCAAGTCTACATTCGAATATGTACAACAACCATATTTAAAATTTACATAAATATTTAAGATTAAATTCTTAATTTATTTTTATTATTATTACCATTTTATTTCTAAATGTTGCCATCCTCATTTGGCATTGTTCTGAATCTGTATGTAAGATACGGAGATTACACGTTTTGTTTTCTTGCAGTTATTATGTTATCCTTCTTATTACTACCTGTTGGCTATGAGAGATTGACCTAAATAATTCATTAACCTAAATGTACTAAATATGTTGAGATGAGTAAATTTTTTCTTTTTTTTTCGATTAAACTAAGAGAAAGAGAGAACCTAGGAGTTATTCCTTAGGCTGGTTAAAGTAAAAGGTAGCCAAGTCAACCAAGTTTGTTTTTTTCTTTCACTAGGAAAGAACTATTGTTCATTCTCATAACACACTGCTTCCCATTGCAGACATACTCAGGGTTAAAATAGTTTAGCAGAAATTGCAGTCCATCCCATTTGTTCATCTCAAGCTGGAATTTTTCTTGTAGGCTAAATTTTGGATACATAAGCCTGAAACTAGGCGTCTCTCATTATACATAGAGAATAAATAAAGACAGAATTTTTCATGGAGAAAGATTTACAGCCTTTAAAACATCTGGAAAGAAGTGGGAAAGTAGGTTTATATAGCCTTTAAAGCATCTGAAAGAAATGGGAAGTAGGGAATGACTGTTAAAGATAACAAGACAAAGCACCAACAAAGGCATAGTTCTAATTTTGTTATAATTTCACATGGGAGTTGTGATTTGTCATGAGGATATGGCGGTCCAAGCAAGCTTACCGTATTTTTTAGAATAATAACTCC